ACGAATTTTGTAGCAGACAGAATTGTCAAAAAATATGCTTTCAATTACGATTGCTTCTTAAATATTTTCATAAAATAGTTTAGACAAATATCGGATTTGATGATTAGATGCAGGATGGATCATTCTTTTTTGAAAAAATGCGAGATTGGCTAGGATTGAAATTTTCTTTGTCAGCATACATGTGGCATAAGTTGTGTAAAAACTTGTTTACCCTTTAATTTACGAGCAAAAAATATATCAGATTGAGGAATATTTTGTAATTATGCATTAAATATATTTATATATAAAATTATAAATCAGGTATTATCAATGAGAAATCGGGGGGGGGGGGGGGTAATACAGTACTAATATGATCAAAACATTATAGTCAGGGTTATCATTTTTCAAAGCATTTATTCAATTAAACATTCTCACATCTCAATTGATGCAATACGTAATATCGCGAATACCAATGGTGCTCTAACTTACTACCGCTCTTTTGTGGGGGGGTTCTAAATTTCTGGGGGCACATGACATTGTTTATCGTAGTGTCAATCGAATGATTCCAACAGTTTAATGAAGAAAGCACTATGTTTTGCCAGATATTGAACTCCAAATAGTAGATGGTCAAATAAGGAAAGTTTAGAATATTTTATCTGCTTCAAAATGTGACGATTTTCAATGAAAATTTAATGAGAAGAGTTCACTTAGTTAAAAATATCGTTAAAAATGTAATACTTTAGGATTAGGCTCCTCTCAGCATTATTAGGCTAGTTAAGCAATTTGTTTAGCAAGGTATTCCGCCAGGATCGATCTTGCATTGCATTCAATGGCACTTTGCCCCAACCCAAAAGACATTTCCTACCTCCATCGCGAAAGAATTCCGCTAAGTTAAGTAATCGCGATATCAAGTATTGGGGGATCTTTTAAATGCACTTTGTAATAGGAAAACAAAAATCAAACAACTAAAAACCCCCAAAAGCAAAATTATACCTTTTCCAGATCTGAGGATTTACAGTGAAACTTCAAATGTTGTAAGGGTAATTTTTAGAATAAATCAGGCTATAAGTTATTATCATGCAATAGGAACTTAATTCAAATTTGGCTAAATTTATGCCCTCTATATCAGGTAAATTAAACAACACAATCAACCAAGAAAAGCCAATGCTTTATTCAAACTTCAAACTGATGTACTCTTGAAATTAAATTCAGAGATTCTCAAGTGTGAAATGTTGCTCCATGGTTCCCTTGGCAATTACATAGATTTTATCAAATTCGTTGACAATCAAAGGTTGGCTTACTTACCCATTAGAGCCATGCTAATTATTTTACTTATTTAATGAGTCGTACAATAAATTTTACAATACAATCTGACACAAAGATATTTGCTTCAGCATATTTTCAGGGATGGGGATTTGGATCGATGTACGTCTTGCTCATGCATTCTGCACTTCTAAGGCTATAACCATTAGAAATAAAGGAATTGATAATTTTATTTACCTGTGGTTTGGGTAAATAAGGGTTAGACTGGTGAATTAAGGAAAATGACAAATTAATGCTCAATGCAAGTTAAAGAACATAATCTGCTGTATGCTATAAACAGTTGCTTAAATTATAGAAATTCTCATCTTTTAGTTTTGGTAAGTATTTAAAGTTATTAGCTCTAGGTATGCTGTGACCCAGAAAAATGGTAATTGATCATTAATCATGTAATATTAATTTTTCATTTTCAACTACTGACTAGATCAATTTAATTAGGTTTTAGATAAAAGGATATACTTTACAATTCACAAAATATAATGGAAAAATTCCAGCTTTTTACTTGTGTTTACTGAAAATTTTCTCTGCTTTAAGCTTTAGGCATACCTGAATTTTATGTTCATTAGTGGATTACATTGTTTTAAGCTAGTATTTTTATTAATAATAATTGATATTCATAAAAGCTATTCTTGATAAATTTATTTTATTGGTTAGAGAATAAAGTTCATGGAATATTCACATCAGATGAGAATTCAAAACCATCAGGGTTAAAAATATTACTGAAATTAACTTGCGTCATTCAAATTCATAACTGGTAGATTGGGGAGAGACATGCCATTCATTCAATTTTTTTTTTTTTTTTTTAAGTTGAAAATAATTCTTTAGGAAAAATATAAATTGGATAGGGATTTCAGTAGAAAGAGTGTGTTATACACTTACTAGAATGAGTTGTATATGAGGTTATTGATCAAGACTTAGGAGTATATTAAAATTTGGATTTAATAATTCACTAAGATTTATTATTTGCAAGATACAGTGTACTAAGGTTATCAAGCAAGTACATGCAAATTTAAACTGATCGTACATGTAGTCGGCTTATTTAAATGACTAAAACATATATCTTTGTTCAGCAGTCAATTATTGATCAACAAGAGGCAAATATGTAAAGGACTTGAATTTATGGAATTGATTTCATTACTACATTAGGTTCACCTGTTTGAATATACAAAGATTTCACCAATTGATGCAATGTATTTCACAATGGCATTTTTCTGGGACCTAAATAAATTTAGTATTATATCAGACGTCTAAACTTGATAAGCATGATGTAAGCCTATGGATTTCAATCAAGATACACAAATCATAGAGTCAATTTAATTTTATGGCTTATCCTATATTAAACAAAACAGTGGAAACCACTAGTTATAAGATCCAGGGCTAGAAACATTTAAGTCCAACCCATTGGAACTTCACAAGCATCTTCAGTTAGGGAAAATATTAGGAAATACAAAGCTATTTAATTGTTATTGATGGATTAGAAATTAAAGCATTTGTCAAAATTTTCCACCAATTATAGCAGATTCATGCCAGGTAAACATATCATTTATCCAGAAACCACAGCAAAATTCCATTTCTTAGACTTTGGCTCCAATGCACATAGTTAAAATGATTCACAGTACTTTTAGGTGGCAAAAGGAATAATTAAAATACACATGTAATCATGTATTCTTGCAAGCCAGGTTGATGGGGGAAAGGGTTTTTGCTCTTTGTGTGAGCCATTTATTAGTAATACTTGTTGTCACAGCTCATACAAATGGGTTGGGTGAAAAGCATTCATAAGAATAAAGTTAAAAACTGATATCAAGATCCCAGGAGTCATAGTTTGGAGTAAAACGCTGACTGCTGTAACACCCTGTGTTACATGTAATACATGTGATTACTTAAAGCCTGGAGTCAATGCTCAGATATAAGGCTAACCTTATTTTATTTCAATTAACATGATTTATTTCCATAGATAATCTAACACAGTATCTAAAAGTATTGTTTGAAACCAGCCAGAATAAATTCATACATGCTGTTGTTGAATTGAAAAGGGTAGATCAGGATCAGCCATTTTTATGACGGGTCAATATTTTGTCCACATATAAATGTTTCTTTAAGTTTTATTACATGTAATTTATTATGTATAATATAAATTATGACACAAATTGCATATTTTAGTCTAATTATTATACACACCTAATCATCATAGGAGGTATGGGGATCTAGAGTTATTTTCAGGGGGGGGGGGCTATTTCAGTTTCCCAAGTAAATAGGTGACAGTGGCGGATCCAGAAATTTTGTAAAGGGGGGCCCGACGAGTTTGAGGTCAGGGTGGGGGCCCACAGCCAAACCAAATAAATATCGATATGTAAAATATTGTGAATTTTTGGACTAAAAAGGGGGGAGGCGGGCTCCCTGGGCCCTCCCCCCTCTAAATCCCTTGTGAATTTTTGGACTAAAAAGGGGGGAGGCGGGCTCCCTGGGCCCTCCCCCCTCTAAATCCCTTGTGAATTTTTGGACTAAAAAGGGGGGAGGCGGGCTCCCTGGGCCCTCCCCCTCTAAATCCCTTGTGATTTTTTGGACTAAAAAGGGGGGAGGCGGGCTCCCTGGGCCCTCCCCCCTCTAAATCCGCCACTGGGTGACATTTAGGGCGGTTGGTCGTGGGTCGGTTGAATGCGGCTTCCCCATTGTGTGGGGTGACCAAAACCTGTGAATTCCATAGGTTTCGGCCATGTGGCGTTTGCGCCGAGCCATTCAACTGATGCTATAATTCATTGTGATGCTGCTGCTTAAAACAAACTCATTTACTGTGAAAATATGTGCTGCTTTCAACAAATTCATGAATTGGTCTGCTTTGATTGATTGAAACAAACTCAATTGCTGTGCAAAATGTATACTGTTTTCACCAAATGTCATGGACAGTGCTTTGCTTGCTAAAATATCTTAAGTAACGTTCGCGGTTTGATAACCCGGAACGATAACTACCTACATATAAACTTGTAAAGTTTATTTAAAATACATGTACATAAAATTTAATTGTAAGGTTAATTACCGTTTGCGGTATACCCGGAACGGCCATTGTTTTGCTTATTATAAGTACATGTACATGTAATATTTTGCTTTATTGTTGTTGCTGCTTGTTGAAATTGTTTGGGGTCGCTCTGCTTGGCACCCCTTTGCTGCTTTAAGCCACGACCAACAATCGCCAATTTATTAAAATAAACGTGTACAAAATCATGTTTGTTTTATTTTCCTCTATATAAATAATAGCATCTATTAATTAAAGAATAGATGCCTTTATTTTATGAGGAAAACTTTGTTATTGCTATTTGAGTTGGGTTAGCTATAAATTAGATCGGGTTCGGGATATCTCAAATTCCCCCTCTTTGCCCTGGATCCTAAGAACGAAAGGTATACGAATTTTGTAGAAGACAGAATTTTCAAAAAATATGCTTTCAATCACGATTGCTTCTTAAATCCCAACCCATCCCATCCCATATTTTAGAATTATGGGTGAATATACAGCTTGATATTAAATAATTATATAAGAAGTCTTTGTCTGCTGTTGGGGTTTTCTCTATCTTTTCAGGATTGACTGGAACATTGACTACACTTGGAAGATCCTCGTCGTGGCATTCCATGGGGCTGACCTTGTATGCTGTAATTTTGAGTGCATGTTTATCCTCGCTCGAAAAGTTCTTGAAGACATTGACATTCCATTGAATTACAATTTGTTTTTCCCCTTGTCGTCTCAAGATTCAGTTTGCGCCGAGCCATTCAACTGATGCTATAATTCATTGTGATGCTGCTGCTTAAAACAAACTCATTTACTGTGAAAATATGTGCTGCTTTCAACAAATTCATGAATTGGTCTGCTTTGATTGATTGAAACAAACTCAATTGCTGTGCAAAATGTATACTGTTTTCACCAAATGTCATGGACAGTGCTTTGCTTGCTAAAATATCTTAAGTACACTGTAAAAAATGTGTTTAGATGATAGACACTTTCCTAAGCACTTTCTTGTCACACTTTTTTTGATGCATTGAAATTCTAAACACATTGAATTTCATTACATGTAACGGAAAGTGTTTAGAGCCTAAACACTTACATGTTTAGACTTTAAACACTTTACAAAACATATCATGATACATGTTTACAAATTAAACACCTGGATGTTTTCATTGTCTTCCTGCAAGAAAACTGAAAATATAACAATTGTTTACATTTTAAATTTTATTCAATGAACATTCAAACATGGATTTATTATAAAGAATTTTAAATCAAATATACATATATGTTTAAATATATATTTTTACACGCTGGTTTTAATTTTAATCAGCTTAGCAAGCAGTTATTCCTCATGTCTGTATCAAGTTTAACTTCCAGCAATTCTTTCACTGAGCAACACACGCATAATTTGTTTTCATCCGTGACCGTCAGTAAGTAATCCTCTTCCATACTTTAAGAATGTTTTTGGGTTGTTCAAAGCTATAACGAACAGCATACTTCACAAAATTCAGTTTCCTCTAGAAAGTAAGAAGTGCTGAAAAAATTTGAGAACGATGGCATGTCATATTGCGGACTTGGAGATGGCAGCAGTTCCTCTGATACGTGTATTTTTGCTTCCAAGTTCGATGTTGACCACATCCTGTAAGAAAGAAATTCAAATTTTATTAAAATATGGTCCTCACTGGCTGGAGTTGTATAAAAATTTTTATATGTTTGATAGCTATTATCGTGCTACTTTTATTGAACCTCATTTAGCCACTATATAGTACTGATACCGATATAGATATTATTAATGACATTCTATATAATGTACTCCTTTCTAGATTTCAGGAATGCAAAATATAACCGAAGGAAATCTTGATCTACAACTACATGTTAACCGCATGTATATCTACATAGCCCATCGTGGTCAATTTATGTAAAATAAGAATAATAGTAAACATACCCTTTATCCTAGTAATGTTGAATTTTAAATGCATTTCACAACCTCTTCATGATTGTCACTTTGATTAGCATGCACTTCCTTTAATCCATCTTCTTTAGCTTACATTGGAATTTTCTTTGTTTCGATAACCGCTCTATTTATCATTCGAATTTATATGCGTCATTTCCGGGAAGATAACTCTGCACTTCACAGAGAAGTGTTCAATTTCTAAACACTTATATCTAAACATATGTTAAATCTTAACATCATTTAGATATAACACACGTTTAGACCTAAGTGTTTAGCCGTTAAACACAATCTTATACATGTTTAGGTAAAAACACGTAACGGAAGTGTTTATTTTCTAAGTGCATTTTTTACAGTGTAACGTTCGCGGTTTGATAACCCGGAACGATAACTACCTACATATAAACTTGTAAAGTTTATTTAAAATACGAGGGTTGTCCCGTTAAATCGTGGACAAGTTGTCTAGTTTGAAAAATAATCATCACTGCGTTCTGAAAGTTTCACTACTTTTTAGTACATATATTATAGATATACATAGCAAATTTCAAATAGATATGTGCATAAATAAACAAATTGTGATATTTTATGTTATGTACTGTAGCGCCCTACGGCGCACGGATGATAACGTCGACGTGTCCAAAACAGCGTCACGCTTCATGTTTGCTAAAATAAAGTTGGATAAGCCCCACTTAAATTTAGAAATTTTATTGATTTACACAGGTGAGTGTTTATTACCAGTTAAGGAACCAATGTGGCACACTCATGTGATCTTCTGAATATTTATGAGCAAGTTACGGACAGTATTCTCACTATCAGTCAACTAAATGAGAATCTCATATCGACGGTCGACAGTGACAGCGTCTTTTACTATTAAAATGGCAGTCTGTCCGCATGTTTTGTACTATCTGGGGACTCAATCAAAAAGACTTCGCTAAGAAAACGTCCATTTTATTTGTATACTAAAATCTGGTGATATTTTTCATATTTTCGTTTTTCCGTATTCATTTAAAGTCTTTTAAAGTGTCATTAAAACATCCTAATCTACCTGAACTGCTCTCCGGTGCGCCGTAACGTCATAAAACGTCACCATTTTTCGTGTATTGTGTATACAACTTTTCCATTTCCAATGCTCGGGAAACAGCCAAAATTTAACCAAATAGCTTGAAATTTTCAAAAAGACGACAGAATTGATTAAGGATTCGAATTAGGATAATTTTCATCCTAATCTTATGTATTGAAAAAATTTATTACGAATTAATACTTGTATATTCTCTAATACAACCTTGTTATTTTTACCGTGCGCCGTAGGACCGTACCCTGTGCACCTTCAAGCAGAATAAAATCTTTATTTTTGTATATAAATTATCAAAAACATTATGATACACTTAAATATGATGAATAAACATTTACTGAAAATTTCAGCTTAGTGCGTCCATTACATTTCGAGAAAAACGCTTTGTCCACGATTTTACGGGACAACCCTCGTACATGTACATAAAATTTAATTGTAAGGTTAATTACCGTTTGCGGTATACCCGGAACGGCCATTGTTTTGCTTATTATAAGTACATGTACATGTAATATTTTGCTTGATTTTTGTTGCTGCTTGTTGAAATTGTTTGGGGTCGCCCTGCTTGGCACCCCTTTGCTGCTTTAAGCCACGACCAACAATCGCCAATATATTAAAATAAACGTGTACAAAATCATGTTTGTTTTATTTTCCTCTATATAAATAAATAATCAATGTAAGTACTACATTGTGTCAGGTTGATTATTAAAAACTATATATTATTGCATTGTTGTACGTTATTTCACATTGAATTGAGGCAAATGTTATTGCTTAAGAAACTTGTACAGAGAGTATACTCATTCGTTGAAAACAAATTTGTTTTACTTAATAAATAATGGAGAAAATATTCAGTGGATGTAAATATTTAACATTGAGCTATCAAGTAGATGCTGGTAAGAAAAAGATCCCTCTCTGCGCAATGGCCCTGAGTGCCGAGTATAGGTCAAAATTTGCAGCTCTCCAGTAGCAAGCGGTTGCGTCTCCATGTGAGTGAAAATTTATTTCTCAAGAGGTTCGTTAAATATAAAACAGGTAAACAAACAAATTACACAAGGAAGGAAAACGTATTGTTAAGGACTGCACTTGCAAATGAATGATTGATTGTATATTGTTTAACGTCCCTCTCGAGAATTTTTCACTCATATGAAGACGTCACCGTATGCTGATGAAGGGCTTCAAATTTTGACCTTTACTCGGTACTCAGGGCCATTGAGCAGTGAGGGATCTTTAGCCTGCCGCTGACCCGCAACTTTCACTTCAAAGGTATGGCAAAGGAACAGTTGGTACCCATTTTCATCGACTTATAGCAGTCGCGGCCGAGATACGAACTCAAGACCCCCCGATCATGGAGCGAGCGCTCTACCGACTGAGCTTTCGTGAATGTTACGAATGAATGACCCTTATTGTGAAACAAAATTTAAGAGATCTAGTGTCTAAATATATAATATATCAAAAGAAACCACATGGAGATAACGTACAGTATTCAAGATCAAAACTCCATAAAACAATACAAAATAGGATCAGAGCAAACACGGACATCCGAAACATTAGAGGTGGGATCAGATGCCACGGAGAAGTGAGCATCCCGTGCCAACCGGTCACACCCGCAGTGTGCTCATTGTCAGGATCGGGAAATAACTGCAAAATCCGTTGTCAATTCAGTGTATAAATAATGAATTAACAATTAGTATGAAAAAAATCAGTCAGCATTTATCTCATTGATGAAATGTATTTGTTGACAAGGTCTTTGTATCGATCAAATCGAACTATTCAATCATGAAATTATCATTTTTTATATACTTTCACTGGGGATTAGTCAGGTAAGTCAGCCATCCTGAAAAAAAAATTCCAAGAATTGTGTTGACAAAACTATTGACACATACATTTTTGTTGTATGATTTATATAAATAGTAAGTGATTATACGTTTTCGTATAAGATAAACGATCTTGAAAATTAAGCTTTAATGTAAATTCGAAACACAATGGATATTGATATTGGATGCATATTCTCAATTTTTTGTCAAATCATTAAAACTTCAACAAAAAATTCATTCAATTATAGACAAGATGCTTTTTATTATATATGTTCAATAAGAATCAATATAAACAGAATTATAAATACAAAGTTTACGTTCTACATCCTTTGACAGGACATTATAAATAAAGTAATTATACACTAAAAACTCTTATTTGCTTCGTACTTCAAGGTTATAAAGAATAATGAGTGCTTGACTATCATTTGACTTCTTAATAATACGGCTAAGTTTTCCATGGAAAATTGACATCTTTTTTTCATAATATTTATGTCGATTGATTTTGATTTAGAATTTAATTAACATTATGACTGTTATAATAATCTATGAATCCTCTTTTTACTTGTTTCATCTGTTTATAAAAAGAAAATGAAAGAGAGAGAGAAAGAGAGATATCTTTTTGGATATCGTTCAACATACTTAGAACATGAACATAATACGGTATTTATACTTAAATTCGAAATTGTCTAATAGACAATCACATAAACGTTGGTTGTAGCGTAAACGTAAAAAAATATTTTTTTGGTATACTTGACAGGGGAATACAAACATGTACACAATTATTCAGCAGTTTAGTCTGGAAATAATCCATCATAGTAAATTTAGAAACTGAGAGCTATAATATTCTGCAGGTAAATGTTCCCTTTTACTGGGAAATTTACTTAGCATAATGTGAATCACGCTATTTTTCAGGGATATCCATTTCGGAATTCCCTATATATGATTTGAAAATACTCATACGCTCGTACAGGCATTATTAGAAATTTAAAAATTAAATGCTCTTGAATATTTTAATCTGTATTTCAATCTGTATTGTGTATCCTGTATTCAGAGATGAGTTGCCTCCTATGTGTTATGGGAAGGTATTTGGTAAAGAGATTTGATAAGACAAAAGCGCGCCTGGTGATCCCCAAAGATCTCTTGACAAATTCTTAGAATCCGCCATGAAATATCTCTCAAATACCTAGAAATATAATGTATTTCATCAAAATGGAATTTACAGTTTTTACAAAACTTTGTGTTGTTTATGTGGGTTTCCAGAGAACCATATACTACTAACAACGTAAGTATGAGGGCATAAAGGGGTACAAGGATACCCAATTGTGTTGACATGCGGAACTCTATTCTAATTTTATAAATCATGAGCATACGTAATGAAATATTCATAGCTGCAGTCCTACGCCTTCGGTCACTTGGTGACTCTCTCCAACCTCTTTTGCAGGAATAGACAAATTATTTCAGTTATATTTTTTCAGGACGAATCCTGATCTTTTCCTCCTCCCTCCATGCATAAAAGATTTTTGAATATTTACATACCATCTCATTTTGATTTTTAATAACATTTTGGGTTGTTTTAAAAGGAAACATAAGTATGAAAATTCTTTTTACAAAATTTTTTATTCTTCCAACAAAGGTTAAATGTATGACAAATGTATGACAATTAAATAGGAAAAATGCATCTCACATTGTAATCTCTCAAGAAGTTCACTTTCAAATTTTCAAATAAAAATTATTCTCATCCTTATTCTGTTTATAACAATCCCGACTTTATTCGTGGATTTACTTAAAAATATTAATTCAGCTATAATAAAGGATATGGAGAAAACAAACATGATTCAATATCAAAGTCCATAAATACAAATATGTGAGCAGAGCACCCGCCGTGTGCTCCTTGTCATTTAAGGAAGCTCTAAACATTAACAGAAACTGTTTTTTTTTTTGGACTCAGAGACAAATATATCATATAAAGATATGCATATTGAGACTTTTTCATTCATTTAGAACATAGGGTACGTGTCTTATTTATGCAGGAAAAATGTTCAAAGACAATGTACTATTTGTGAGCAGAAATCAGTTATTTTCTTATATTGGGAAAATAAATGAAAATAATTGATTAAATTTCTTACTCTTGGTCTTATATAATGCTAAAAAATTTTAATCAGTTATAAATCATGTAATTACCGGTAAATAACAATTTCTTTAATCTTACATCTAGGCCTAAGGGCAGATCACTTTAACTGCATAAAACAACCCAATAAATAGAGCTCTTACTGTGCAGTGTTTAAAGCGTCCTTAAGTGTAAAAATAATGGTGTGAAAAACATCAGTCAGCATCTGACTCAATGACAATATATTTAAACCACAAAAAGACAAAAACCGAAAAGGAACTATTACAACAATGGAAGTTTTTTTTTTCAATCATGGTCGAATTTTTCTTATGTACATTGCTGAGTTACAATACTTCCACAAAATACATGAACTTTAATAGAATATATTCCTGTATTATGTTTTCATCGC